ATATATATGTATATGTATATGTATATATATTTGTATTAGTTTGTATGTATGCGTGTGTGTGTGTGTGTACGTATATATATGTTTGTGTCTATGCGTGTTTTTCGACTCTACATACAAATTGGCAAGTCAAGTACTTCCTGTCGCTCCAGTGTTGGATTGCAAAGCAACAGCACTCAGTGCATTGGCCTTAATACCCAAATATTTTGCTATTTGTGCTTTTCATATTATCCTCCTAATCCTTACTGCCTCATTGTGTGCATTCGTCAGTATATCTCTGATAGAGCTTGTTGAATTTTTTTCCTATTTATTGGCAGCGGTTGAGGGCAAAAATGGGCTCAGGCACCCATACTATATCCGATCTGAGCGGAACATCCACTATATCGGATTTGATGAATTCTTTAGCCACGATTGCCGACTGTGACAAGAGTTTGTTGAAAGGTGAGTCTGTTTTGATGGTATCACCAATACCGCTGGTGAGATCTTTACACTATCATCGATTCAACTAGATGTCGCACAGTATGCCTATTGGTACGCATTGTCAATGAGTTAGCGGCCTGCCCTAGCTTCGATTATCATGTCGATTTTCAGTTAGAGTTCAGTGCATGTATAGAGGCTTGATCTTCTATGTACTCCTCAGTTATGTACAGCTATCCACCGAAGAAACTGTCCACGGTTGACGATGCAACCCTTGAGAGCATACCAATCACAAGCGGCGAGACTTTCATAGTTGAGCAAAGTCAGACAGAAGAGGAAAAAAACAGAACAAAGTAGGTTGTGCGCGTCACATTGTGTGTCCTGATTGTCTGGACATATTAGTAGCTCCAATACGCGTTGTTATTCTTCGGCATCTTACAACACCAGATAGGACCAATTGATGGTATTTGGAGAGCGTGCTCGAATCACACAGCGATCTACTCAAGGTCGTATTCAAGCACCAACTTCAAATCGAACACTGGCCAACACAGATATTTCTATCTTGTCAAAAGATCCTCGAGGGTGTTTGATATGCGTTGTATTGTGTGCGTTACTGGTTTGTACACATCAACTGACAAAAATTTCCGCGGTTTTTGCGTCATAGCATGATTTCTCTCTCAAGCAAGTATTGTGTCTCATGTATGCTCGTGGCAAAGATTTATTGCACACGTCTGTTAATAAATGTGATGTTACCAGCTCTTGTATACCCTGATCGAAACGTTCCTCGTAACTAAAAGTGAACCGTTGTGAGTGTGCGTTGACATGTTTTATTGATTTTTCTCGTCGCGTACATTTCACATACACCCAGGTTCACGACTGATTCTAATACCGGATACCGCACGGTCAGAAATGATAATTTGATGAGCGCAGACACCTCCAATTCGAGCGGAGAAATAATACGGCGGGTCGTCCCGGACGATAATTCGTGTTTATTCTCTTCTATAGCTAAGGTGTGTGTACGATATGGTGACTCGTTTTCAATAAGTACGTGCGATTCCGAATCGGTTTAGGAGTCCTGCGCATGACATGGTATTTGAGAAGTACCGAGTTCATTTTTCTGCATCTGCTATGAGTGTAATTCCATCATTCATATGATCGCTTATCTACTTATGGACACCAAAAGCATACAGCGTATTTTTATATCACGCACACAGCTGGTTTTGAGCGATTTGTTCGTTTCAAAACCTAATCTTTACATGATTGTACGGTTTTAAATCTCACTCGTGTGGCCGTAGAATCTACTCCGAGACTCGACGCAGAGTGGACAACTTAGGAGTATAGTGGCCAATGCTATCGTAGTCGATACAACGACATACAACGAAGCCATGCTGGGGCAAAGTGTCGATGATTACGTTAGGTGGATCCAGAACCCAGACTCGTGGGGAGGTGAGTGTGGGTGATGATGCCGGCTCTCACACACTTGAAACATTTGCGCAGCTGGCATACCACCTAGTGAACCACTTTATAGTATACAGTTCATCAACAATTACATTTCAATCTGTCCCGCAGGCGGATTGCTTGGCTTGCTTGTTAATGAGTACAGTGCGCCGAAGGCAGTGTGTACTTGTGTTCGAGTTTGAATATACTTTTCGCCATGACTATGTTTGTGCTTGTCGTTGGCGCATTTGTGCTAAATGATGCTGAGTGGGTCGTTTCTGTGTAGGGATGCTTGATGGGTGGAAATTATAGATTCAAATCATCACGAGACAAGAGTAGCCTCGATACATTCTTGCAACAATGCGATACCCTCCTGTATGTTTATAAGTAGATTGGCTCCCTTGGTTGTTTTTGTGCGATATACGTATTCCTGTTTCCGGTTCCTATTCAGTAAAATTAGGTGTTTTGACAATTTCGGTATTAAGGCACCATGTTTTGCTAATGAGCAGATTTAGCTGATAGAATAGGACCTTAGTGGAGAACAACATCTTATTAATAATATGTTTCTGTGTCAAATGCCATGTGACTCGCGTCTGGTCTTTAGGCACGATGCTTGATTGTTGAGTGGTCCTTACAAACAATTACTTCTTATTAAATTTATTCAGGCGCGATCGATATATCTATCCTTGCCGAGTTTTTCCATACCGAGATTGTGGTTTGCGACACCCAAACTCTCCGAATGGATCGATTTGGTATGTGACTGCTGCCTATGCATGCGCTGCGCACTCTGTCAACGTGGCATTTTTCATTTTCATTTACTATTGGCGATGTATATTGTTTTATGTACCATCGTATCGTATGGAATTCTCGTATAAATCCTCGGCTTGGTCGTACACTGAAACTGTAAAGCAAGTTTCTTTTTACGTCTACATATATCATGATACCCGTACCATTGTAGTTTGTGTATCAGAGAAATGCATACTTGTATCGCTCGTTCCGTACCATGAAATACAAATGGTTGATATTACCGCGACAGCAACCGTTGAAATTGGTTTTCTATCGCTACAGTTATCGCGAGCAGGATCACGCAACGAAGCATATTGATGTGTCTGTGTGTATCGACTACGCGAAAGTGGTGACAAACATTGCGTACTGTGATTTGAATCTATAAAAAGTGGAAGGGATTTAGACGTGACAACGTGGGTGCGACTCTAGCAGCACATGTAAGCGTATCTGTATCAGCTCTTCGATCTTCGATAGCATATCGATGGCATATCCAGGCTGATAGTTTTTATTTGCAATTGCCATCACTCCGTATCTCAGGACAAGAGAAGAATTATGCTTCACGGATTCTTATAATTTATGATGGGGTACATTACGACGCGTTGGCGATAACACCATATATGGGTAAGTTTACGAGTATTCACTCATTGGGATTCTGCTCGGTAGCTGTTAGTGATGGGTTGTAGCATGTGAACGGTTTGCTGCCATGTGTGAAACCCGGATCCCGAACACACACCACCTTTTGTATTGGTATTTAGACACCACCTTTTGTATTGGTATTTAGACACCACCTTTTGTATTGGTATTTAGACACCACCTTTTGTATTGGTATTTAGACACCACCTTTTGTATTGGTATTTAGACACCACCTTTTGTATTGGTATTTAGACA